ACCAAGACAGACAGAGCAGGGGATCGAACCGGTAACCTTCCAGTTACAAGATGAGCTTCCCAACCTCCTGAACCATGGTCGCCCCGATAAAAGCTAACCACCGAATGGTAGCGTAACTTGGAAAAGTGCAAGTCAAACCAAAACTTTGCCTTCAGTGTTAACTAACAGAAACTAACACATTTCAAAAATTTCATCTTTTACTTTAAAGGGGAATGATCTCCATTTCTTGTGTGCAGACCAGTCAGTGTTTTCCATACTGTCTATGGGCAACCATGGAAATGTGTTTGCAACCAAAGCAAATACAAGGAGGTTTTTGGTTCAGTGCTCTATACACCTTTGCAATCAATTCCACTTTGCTACAGCAGGCAGCCTCTTGCAACTACTCACCAGCTAGTCAGGAAATACACATTTTTTTCCTAATTACCCTAATTACCACTGACAGCCTCTAGGCCTGCCTCACTTGGGCTTCACCAATCAATTTCACAGTGAGTACCTGCAACTTCCAACCACCACTCTCAACTACTCAGTCACTGCGGTTGCCAGTGACTGAAATATGTGGTTTATTAAAAAAAAGACTTCTTAATTATTTTATTGACTTTTCATGTTTTTATTCTAACATCAATTCAGAATAATCATTGTGAACAAAACAGAACAAGAACTGCCCACAGCTAGCAAGCAGACTTCCCTTTTAACATCTCAAATATTGCAATCCAGTAGTTGTATTTCATTGTATGGTCTCCTGCTGTTTTCTGTAATGTGAAAGAACAGCAGATGTTTTGTCATTGGCTGACAAAACTAATACTCCAGTCGCGATGCATGTGTATATATATATATATATATCCTCTATATATAATAAGTTATTTGGTGATGTCATTTATGCCTGTGATCTGGTCTTGTAGGCTCCAGATGTTGGAGGCCATCTGTAAGCACTGGGAAGGCCCCATCAGCCTCGCCCTGTACTTGTCAGATGCTGAAGCCCAGCAGTTCCTTCGCTATGCTCAGGGCTCTGAGGTGCTGATGAGTCGTGGGAATGTCGGTTACCACATTGTCTACAAGGAGGGTCAGTTCTACCCAGTCAACTTGCTACGAAATGTGGCCATGCGACACGTCAACACACCCTACATGTTCCTATCAGACATTGACTTCTTGCCTATGTACAGCCTCTATGAGTATCTCAGGTAAGATGATTAAGTAAAAACCAAAGGACAGCGCTAAATGTTGATCTCATTCCTCGTTGACACTGTGAACAATCACTTACCGTCTATGTGCAGGAAGTCTGTGGTGCAGCTGGACATGGCCAACACCAAGAAAGCTCTAGTGGTTCCCGCCTTTGAGACACTTCGGTATCGACTGTCATACCCGAAATCTAAAGCCGAGCTGCTGTCTCAGCTGGACATGGGCACACTCTTCACCTTCAGGTTAGACATGTTTGTCCCTGTCTGTCGTAGAAGGTATGTGAACCAGAAAAGAATAGTAGATTCGCAGATACGTTCTGTCAGTGGACTCAGAGGACGAGAGCAGTCTGAACACCACTACTCTGAAGGGAAGGCGCACCAGGGGTGCTCAGTGCAGACATAAGACATGAGTGGCACTAACAGAAAGCTGCAATGAGGCACACATGACATCCAGTAAAACCAGCGTGACTCAAACCTTCTGCTTTACATCTGGAACAGAAGGATAAGAAGCTGGTTTCACAAAATACTGATGTTAATAACTTTGACATAAATTAATGAAAATGTAATTTCATCTCACAGACATGGAGATAATTATATGCCTATGTTTAGTGTGAGTACAGATGCAACACTATACTGGTCAAAACTCTACATGGACTGCACACATGACTCCTGTGTGCAGTCTCTATGGGTGCCCAAGGCTCTTTGAGTCATATTCACTTTGCTTCAGTCTGTAATACGTCTTTTATCTTATGGTCTTATGGCACTCACACATATGGAGATAACTGTGCTGCCATCATAAATGATTTGGTCTGAATAGTGGGGTAAAAACTCTATAAAAAAGACTCAATTTTCACATCTACGCTAGAGAAAGAGCTTTTAGCATCCCTGTGTCCAAAGTACCACCTAATCTTTTAGGAACTGTAGAGTGCATTTCTGCTCTGGTAAACTACTTTCCTTTTTTCTCCTTACAGATATCATGTGTGGACTAAAGGCCATGCACCAACTAACTTTGCCAAATGGCGGACAGCCACCACTCCCTACAGAGTGCAGTGGGAGGCTGACTTTGAGCCCTATGTTATGGTGAGGAGGGACAGTCCTGAGTATGACCGCCGCTTTGTGGGCTTTGGCTGGAACAAGGTGGCTCACATTATGGAGCTGGATGCACAGGTAACTCGGTGCTCCCATTGTCAACCTCAGTTACTCCCAAAATTGGGACTTTGTGTAAAATGTAAATACAAACAGAATCCAGTGATTTGAAAATCTCTTTAAGTCATATAATAACACATCGGTTATTTAAACTCACAACTGGACGAACATACAGTAGACTTATTAGCAACAGGTCAGTAACATGAGTGGATATAAAAAGAGTATTTCTCAGAAGAAAATACAGGAAGAAAAATGTATCTACAAATTTTGCAACTAGCTTAATTCAGTTCAGTTTTATTTATGTAGCGCCAAATCACAGCAACGGTCACCTGAAGGCTCTCTATACTGTAAGATAAAGATCCTACAATAACACAGTAATGTTCCTAAACTGTGAAGACTGAACATCTCATTGTCTACAGTACATTATATCATCAACAGACTGAGAGAATGCAACACTTCACAAATCACCGTGTGTGAACACAGCTCAGAGTGCCGTCCGTACGTGCAGGTTAAAGCTCTATCATGCAGATAAGAATCATCTGTAACATTGATCCACAAACACTGCTGTCTCCAATGGACCAAAGCTCAAAGTGGAAAACGGATCTTAGGTCAGAGAAATCGGAACCAAAATGTTTTTTGGAAAACGCTGCGTCCTCTGAACTAAAGAGGACAGGGATGATCTGACTGCTTATCGGTGCTCAGTTCAAATGCCTGTATCTTTGATACTACTGGGGGCATCAGAGCCTATGGAACTGGCAGCTGACACATCTGGAAAGGCTCCATCAGTGCTGAAAGGTATATACAGGTTTTAGAGCAACATAAAGACAGCAGGTGTCTTTATCATAGTTTAGCAGGACGATGCTAAACTGCATATTGCATCTATTCCAGCAGCACGGCTTCATAGCAGAAGAGTCCACACCATTCACCAGCTTAGAACATCTGGAGCCTCAGGACTGTTGAGCAGCTAGAATCTTCTATCAGATAAGACCAGGACAACATTCCTCTGAGAAATGTCAGCAGTTGCTCTCCTCAGCAGTTAAAAGAATCGTTCAAACCACCACCACCTTCAGACTGGTGTTTTGGACCTCAAGTAAAGTTAAAAGCATAGCTGATCAGCACAACTCATCACCAACTGGTGGCAAGTTAAGTCAGGTTGTAGAGGAAGACGCTGGATAGGCCTCATACTCAAGCTATTATTCTGAGGATACGCTGACCAGTCAGCTGACAGGTAATGGTAGGCCCTACGTTGCCAGAGTCACAAAGAGAGTGACTCTGGCAGTAGCTGAAGCAAAAACCTGGGTTTGGTGATGCTATGGAACAAGACTTTTAACTGACGTCAAGGCAAACTGACAAACTGTCAAGTGACTCAGAATAGAGAAGCATCTTCCAGCTCACCTGTATGTGGTGAGGATAGAGAGCTGCTGACTTCATATAAGGATATCGTTAGGTGGTGAATGTGGTGTGGCTATGGACTGAGAGGTGGAGCTGGTTGTCTACCGTGTGGAAGGTTGGGGGTTCACTCCCTCAACTTCCTCAAGTCTGCATATCAAAGCAAGATACTGAAGCCCACGTTGTTCCCCATCAGAGTGCGAGAGTGTGAAACAATGTTAGATGCTAAGAAATTGAAAAAAGCACTTCAAGCATTCCAAGTAGTACAAAAATGTATCAATTTATTAACTGACTTATTAGGAGGGTTTCTTTGAGCCCACTGACATCCTTTCCTTTGAGGAGGCAAATTGTGGGGAAAAGGGATGACTGGTCTATCCCTGGGCATGAGGTCAAGGAGGTAGTTAAACAAGGACATTTTTCAGTAGTTGGGGAGAGGGCGGTCTGGGCATCTTTGCCGAGACAACTGCCTCTGTAACCCAGACAAGCTGCAGTCGATGGATGGAAAACGTTTAAATTTCTCATTTAAGTTTGTTTTATAATGTGATACAGAATATTTTCAAATGATGAAATCCTTTTCCACTAGATTCCATTCCATTAGGATAACTTAACTTAAGATAATTTTGATTTCCACTGTGTAATTTAACCACATTTATTTTTGTATTTTGAGGATTTGAGGATAAAGAAAGCTCAAAAGCTCAGTCGGTCAAATGATTGGACAGGTTGTATGGCTTTACAGTGACAGGTCCTGTTCTCTTTTAGCTGAAGAAGAAATCAGCATGCGACTCATTATGACTGGGTTTTAATTTTAAGAGGTCATAGGTCAGGTTTGACTGAAGTGCTTAACAATAGTCTTTATGCAAACATCCTTTTTTGGAGCATAAAATGCAACTTCTAAAAGTCATAGAAACTATTTTGTGTTTATAAAATTTTTATTGTCACTATATCTAATGTCTGTGTGTGTCCTGTGACAGGTGTTGCTCATTGTTGAAAATATGAGAATAGTAATTATGTTAACTGCGCACTTCGGTTCAGTTCGACTGAGAATTTTAGCTTCTTATGCACGACCAAGAGGAATGTGGCTCATGCAGTTACATGTTACCAGATCAGATGGACTCGGGTATGAACGGTGATTCCTGAGGAATTCAGACTGAAAGTTTGTTCTTTTCTCTCCACAGGAGTATGAATTTGTGGTTCTGCCCAATGCTTTCATGATCCACATGCCTCATGCACCCAGCTTTGACATCACCAAGTTCCGCTCCAATAAGCAGTACCGGGTCTGCCTGAAGACCCTGAAGGAGGAGTTCCAACAGAACATGTCGCGGCGGTACGGTTTTGCCGCCCTTAAGTACATGACGGCTGAAAACAACAGCTAGCCACCACTGCGGACCCTCATAGCCCCAACTCTGAACTACTGACATGCTCCACAGGCTGCACGAGGGGAGCATAGTGTGAACGGAAGCCTGTGTGGGTCCTGGGGATACTTTGAGACTTAAGTCCCTCAGAACATTGGACACTGAGTGTGACACTGCAGGGGCTCTTTTGTTCCAACTTTGTCATCAGTTGTGGATAAAGGAGAAAATGTGTGAAGCGTTTCCTTCTCCCAGGATGTTAAAGCTATGAATGATCGCACAAGGGACTGCTGGGGCTGGGCCCCAGGTGTGTGGGCCTCAAGCTTCAGTTATGGAATATGATAGACAGCAAACAAAAATATTGCCTTGCCATATTTCTAAGACCAATGACAGTGTTATGGCTATGTGTAACATTATGTGTGTGTGGGTGTGTGTTTGTATGTGTATGTGAAGGTAGATACAAGTGCGTGTGCGCGTGCGCGTGTGCGTGTGTGTGTGTGTGTGTGTGTGTGTGTGTGTGTGTGTCTGTGTAGGTGTGTGTGTGTGTGTGTTCTGCCAGGACAGTGCTTAGCAGGGTGTAGAGCACTGTGGACTAAGCTTTCCAAAACTATGAAGTAACAGGAAGCTGCAGTATGACTGACAGCACAGCCCCGGCTCCAATGCAACCGATCTGCAGGCAGCAGGACAAAGAGGTCAACATGTTGACAGAGAGTTAAAAAACCTTGTGGTGACGAGTGAGACACACTCAGATACTGAGGGTAGCAGCCATCTGACCATCTGCTGCTGCTGAATTTGTTTCATGGCTGATACAGATCAGAATAAATCTTCCTACTCGTATGACAAATAAGCTAAAAGTGTAATAATGTCTGGAGACCATCCGCTTGGTTAATTTTCAGGGGATCTCCACATCAGCCCTGTAGTGTGTCTTCGGTTTTGGTACGACTACAGAATGTGACAGCAGATGGAAGCATTGTCGCTTAGTTAACTGCCTCCCATAACAGAGTGCAGCAATAAGGCCCAACAGTCAGCATTATCTATGAGTGGGTTAAATGGTTGATGGGAGGATGGGAAATCTGTAAAAATCTTCCAGTTCCAGTAAGGTGAGTCCCAAACACTTTCTTCCTCACGCTCGTTCTTTCTCCCTCTGGCCTCTAGTTTGACAGCAGTTCAATTCAGGTTTTTTTTATATAGCGCAAAATCACAATAATAGGTGCCTGAAGGTGCTTTAATGTAAGGTAAAGACCCTACAATGATACTATAGCAGCCAAATGAGCCAATAACACAGTGCCAGTATGCGCTCTCTTTGTTTGTGAGGTGTCACACCATCAGTTGGTGTATCGTCAACTTATTATTGGTCTGGTATGAATGTTGTGCCACTAATTTCATGTTACCTGGAGAGGCTGTGGACAGACTGGCAGCCATAGAGTCCTGATAACAAGACACTGCTGGGCATTAATGTCCTGTATGATATTATAAAGAAAAACTAAAGTTAGATACGGGTCTAAAGACATTAGGAACACAAATCACTGCAGGAATAATTTTGTAATCAATACAGTGAAAGTGAAACTGAACGTTTTGACATGGATATTATGGAATACTTGAAAAAATATTGAAAAAACATGATAATATGATGATACTGGTCTTGGTCAAATAGTGCAAAAAAATTCTCCTGTCTTTTTCCAAATCACATGACTTCAGTGGAAAACATGAGGTCAGGTGAGGAAAGAAGTAGTGAAGCAGAACCCCGGTATTTAACCCAGATTTGTTTTGTCACCTTTAAAATGGTCCTGAAAGTTGCTGACCCACTAATCATCATGTGATTTGCCCCAGGAGTCACAGTGTGAAACTGCTGTGTAAAGGTCCGATCGCTCCTCCTGTGCACTTCACACATTGCTGTAGTCAAATTATTTAATCTTGGCAATACCTAATAAGGTAGCCACCCCAGGTATCATCCCGGGGTGGCTGTAGCCGAGGATCTACTGATCGCAAGGTTAATGGTTCGATCCCTGGCTCCAAGTTGCAGGGTCTCTCAAGCATCCATCAGTGTGTGAGTGTTAGCTAGGAAGCACTGAAAGGAAAGTGCTTCTGTGAATGTGGCGTGTTGTATAAAGTGCTCCAGGAGAGTAGAAAAGTGCTATATGAGAATCAGTCCATTTACCTTTTTTATTCATTTTTATTAAGTCTGCTTTACAAAGCGTTTCACACGGGAATGAGCTTCATGCAAAGGTCATTTCAAGAAGAGTTCATTTATGGGCATAACAAATTGTTCAAAATATATATATCTTTGACTAGGATGTAGATGATGATCTGTGTTGCTTGTCAGTCCACTTATAGGACACCATCACTGCTTTCCTGTTATAGGAAATAAAGGCAGCGTTGAACCACGTTTCCTGAATTCACCCTGATATAATTATGGCTCACATTCTTCTGTGCAGCTTCACTCAGCTAGGAAAAGACAATCTGATTATCTGAGCACAGCTGCTGCCCTTGTGTTTCCTGCTGCCTGCTGTACTTCAGTCATGAGTGTGGTGGTAAGGCAACCTGTTACCTAAGCAACCAAAATGTAATAAAACTAACACATGCATTTTAATCCACGTCAGTCCTTCTTCCTGCAGGTTAGGCGTGTAAAAATTGTTAACTGAAGGTGCAGTCAGCTGCAGTTATGGATTCACTCTTCCACTTAGAGCAGCTGGAGGCACCGCGGCCTCTGTCAGGTCCCAGCCAGGATCAGAGTGAACGCATCATTAGGCAGCAACTTGTCACTCAGTCCTAGTCTCCAAAAAAGTCCCTGGACTCACACAAACTTGATACTGATGTGAAACTAGAGGCCTCTCTCTCACACACATCCCAGTGATCTCTCACCCTGTACAGGAAGCTGCACAAGGTCTTGGTGCAGGTTAGTGTGTATGAGTGTGAAGAAGCTATCTAAGTGACTGTTGTATGATATTCGGTCTTCATCTGTTAGCCTTGCAGGGCTGAGTGGGGCTGCAGTGTGTAAGTAGGACAGTGCTGATTGATGCTGCTACCTGAATAAAAGCAAAGAGTCAAATCGTGCCGTTTCATCATTCCTACTTCTGTGATCGCCAGTTTGACCTCATGAACACAATAAATAAGAACACAGCTGTCACTACAGTATAGGGGAAATAGCCCATTCTGTTTTCAGTAGTCTGAGGGACCTCTTTTTGGTTTGTGAAGACATTTCAGCTCTTATCAAGGAGCCTCTTCAGTTCTAACAACTGATGGAGACTCCCATTTAACCCAGACTTGGTTTGTGACCTTGGAGATGGTCCTGAAGGTCACTAACCCAATAATCATCATGTGATTTGTCCGAAGCCGAGGTGTAAAACAGCTATGTAAGGGTCCAAGCACTCCAAAGTGCACCGCACAGCTTAGACTACATTTTCATCCATTCTTGCGCCACTGCTGCCAGGATATCTGATACATGATATGTCTTGGCTGTGTGTTGAAATCACCTCCCCAGGCACCCTTGTCAGACAAGCATTGTCCTCCACAGTAACTATTTAGCACCTTTTTATAGTGTTAACAAAATGCTTTGATCCATCCTTCCATTTTCTTCAGTTCACCCAGGTCGTGGGGGCAGCAGCCTACACAAAGAAGCCCAGACCTCCCACTCCCTAGCCAGCTTCTCCAGCTTATAAATAAAATCTCTCCAGTGTGTCCTGGGTCTGCACTGCACTACCCAGAACACCTCACCCAGGAGGCATTATTGTCAGATGCCTTTCAATGTGGAGGAGTAGCAGCTCTACTCTGAGCCCCTCCCAGATGGTCACTTCACACTGGCCTGTGAACCACTCCAGTGCGAGCAGGAGGCCACCATCCTGATAAAGCCAACAGAATCACATCATCTACGAAAAGCAGAGAGGAGATTCTGAGACACAACTTTTCGGTTTGGCTTTTAACCCAGTACAGAAATGTTCATTTTATTCAGATTTTGTTGTCTTTCTGATGTTGGTGTTCTATATTGTATTTTTATTTTTACTCTGGCAGTAGGGTGAGGCCCCACCTCACTTTGGTTATAAGACACTCGTGGCTTAGTGAATGTAACCTTCAAATACTAAAAGCAAAAATAAAATTTCTGGTTGAAATGTTGCTGCCACCAACAGAACCTTAAGTCAGCCATTCCCTCAGTTGAAACTGACACCTTTGCCAAGCCCGACCTAACGACCTAGCCAAAATGTTCAGTAAGGATCTAGCCCTCTCTCTTCCTTATGGTGCAGATGATGGTTCAACAGACAGAACAATGAAGCCATGGATTGTGCATTACTGACTCATTAGTACAAGGAATTATCTGTCCTTCATTATCTCCTATGCACAGGTTTTTTCTTTGTAGAGAAGAAAGACAAGTTCCTTTGGCACTGTATCAACTTCCGTGGTTTAAGATAACGACAAAGAATAAATGCCCTCTACCCTTGCTTACCTCTATTTTTGAGTTGCTCCAGGAGTGCGACTGTTTTTACCAAGTTGAATCTCAGTAATGCTTACATTTGGTGAGAATAAAGGATTGGGGATGAGTGGAAGACAGCAATTAATACACATCTGGGTCACTTTGAGTACTTGGTAATGTCTTTTGGTTTAACAAATGCTCCTGCAGAAATTTCAGACCCTCAAACGATGTCCTGAGATTTCATTAACAACTTTGTCAATCTTGATACTCTTGATCTTGATGATACTCTCATCTTTTCCAAGACTTCTTTGGTTTCATTGTGGAAAGAGGTCCTTTAAAGTCAGACACAGTAAAGGTTCCATCAGGGTGGAGTAACGGAGGGAGCTAGCAATAACAGTCAGGCAAGCAAGCCATGTTGCTCGGCCATGCTCGCCTCTCTCGACTAACCCACAGAAGATGCCTTGCAGTGGGCGAGCGTCTTTACTGTGGCACAAAAGGTCATTTTGTTTCTACTTGTCCGGTGCGGCCAAAAGGCTGTGCCAGCCAATAAATCTAAGGATACTGGCAGTCAATATCTTCTCCCTAACAAGTAATACCTGCTAAGATATGTCATCAATACAGTTTGGTAGACTCTGAGGCCATAAAGTTTCATTAATTACTATCACCTATAGATCTGGTTATCAAAATGTCAAGATAGTTTTCAACATCTGACTGATCCCCTGACTAGAAAACTATCCTTCCATCCACCTGCATAATTGGCTCCCTGACTTGGGAGTCATTAATCCAGCATGGCCAATGAAAGCTGTATGTTTGATTTTGATTACTGTTTAAATAAAAAAATAAAAAAAACTATACCATGTACGTAAGTATTCCTAGCCTTTGTTGAAACACCTTTGGCAGCTTCTCAGTTCTTCTTTACAGAACCTCTCGAGCTCAGTCAGGTTGAATGGGGAGTGTTGGTGTACAGCATTTTTCAGATCTCTCTAGAGATGTTTAATCAGGTTCAAGTCTGGGCCACTCAAGGACATTGATTGTGTTGACCCAGAGGAGTGTTTAGCTGTGTCTCTGAGGTATTTGTATATTCAGT